TTAATTTGGTTCGCCTTTAATTAAAAGGGATGAACTTGAAAAAATAAAAGTAACGTAATATTGAATTATTTTAGTAAAGGGTAGTGGATTAATGGATTTGTTACAAGGAATTTGGAGAAGCATTCAAAAGATTTGTCAATAAAGTTATACTTATGATTAAACTTTTTCATCGATTCTATTTATTAAATCAGGACTTTAAAGATTGGAGAGGTAATTTCTGTCTTCTAAATTAGTTTTAAACCCGTAAAAAGTATTTGACGAACAAAGAAATAAACTGTAAAGTGTACTGAAAGTGTGAACGGTGAAATGTTATTCCCTTTTTTAAATAATAATCGGAATGTGAGTGTAATACCAGTTAAATCCTGTAGATTCGGCTGTGTTTCTGTTCTACCAGTAGGTGTGAATCCTTTCCCACCAAACATCATAGACAAAAGAAAACGCAAACTTCCTATAAACACTATATTTTCCGCTTACCACTACTATAACCAACACTATGCTACTTTTTGCAATTTTTCGCTTTTATACATTTAGCACTGCAAGCAAAGAGCCAATCAAAAACCAAATTTCGAAGCTTGCGCTGTTAGACAGTTTATAAACTATAATTGTGTTGTCTTTATATTTTGCATTATTCATTACTGTTTGTCGATGTGAGGTAAATACTTTTCAAAATTACCGTATTCTTTGTAATTACTTGATTAAATATTTTATTACATGCAATATTAGCTGGTGGTTTCTTGAAATTGACGACGTTTAAAGGAACACGTAGACGTAGGACTGCATAATAATTATAGTAGGACGCAATTTTAGTCTATGTTTTTTAATCAACCGACTTGTGGTTTTGTTTTTTTATATAATTCAACTAATATTGTATATAATTTGCTTTCTTAAATACGAGGCAGTATAGCATTTTAGGGTTGTTATTCACAGGGATGTTTTAAATGTGGTCTTCCATCGTAGTGGGTTGTGGATTTTGCCGCCTACATTTCTGAGTGTACGAATTTGGGACGTAGTTTAATTGATGTTTACTGGGTTGCACAAAACAAAGATCACTGAAATAATTTAAAAATTAAAAATATACAGAAACGATGCATTAATGAAATAATGCTGTAACACGAAAGTGTCAATTGTCAAACGTGAAAGTTGGTGACATTTTTCTAACATTGGTCACTATATTGAAAGCGGCAAATCAATCGATCTAAACTTTTTTAAGCCATTTAGAATGTAATAAACATATGTAATAATCCTGAATACACCACAGATGTACTTTTTTAAAATCATTTTGAGAGTGATGCAAATCTATCGTCATTTATCCCAAGCTAAGTTATAAAAGCGGTAGCAAACAGTAATTATTTTATCGAAGCACTTGTGTGAGGTCATTTATAAACGACAGAAAGAGGAGCGTACCCAGACTGGAGCCCTGGGAGGCTCCAGGAGTAGAACGTATTGCTTATTCAGTAAATAGAATTGAAACAGTTTGACAGCAGAAGTAGTAAATCTTAAATTTGAAGTTTAGTAGTAAAATGGAATCAACTTGACATATTGAGATATCCTAAAAATATTTAAGGTACTAAATCTTTTACAGATTTTTTATAGAACAGAGATGGCCTGTAGTTCTTAATGTCATAAGGTGGGAAATGCTGATTTCTTTACTATTACCTAAATTGAAAAGGAAACATAAAGGTTCTCCAAATAAAGAAGAGCATTTTTTTTTATAATAACAATGATAACTAAAATGCTACCTGTGAGATTAAAAAGATCAAATCAAATGTAGCAATATTTCGAGAATTTTCTCTGTTAAACGTTCGTAGTATAAATAGAATACCAGATTAATGTACAATCTTCTAAACGAGATCCAAGAGAGTTGAACAAAACGAGTAATTACTTTGGAGATTTCTTTACAATTTCAAAAGATACATTTGTAGATTTTACATGCTTTGGAGATACATTCAGAAATATGAAATTTATGGTTAACAAAATAAATATTTTGGTCGAAAGTGACACCTAAATCTTACAAGATTTCCAGATGGCTTAAAGATTCACCTCGTAGAGAGTAACCAAAATAAAATAATGTGTCCTTTCTTAGAATATAAAACAGTAATACATTTTACATTATTTATATACAATCGATTATTTATTTTCCATGAACGTAATCTATTTGTGTCCTCCTGCAACAGTTCATAGTCTCTTAATAATTTAATTCCAAAACAAAAAAGCTTCAGGTCGTAAGTAAACACTGGCTTGTAGCTGGTGAACCACATTGCTGATAAAAATGATAAACAATAATGGTCCTAAGTTAGAACTTTGTGGTACACCGTACCCGTGTACAAAAAAATTAGATATGAAATCGCGATGTTTAACAAATAATTCTCTTCCCAGTAGGTATGATTTTATAAGAGTTAGTAAGGGTTGAGTAAAGCCAAAACATTGGAGTTTTTCTAATAAGGTGCAGTGATCTATCTGATCAAAAGCCTTGCAAAAATCAGTATATATAACGCCTGCTTGATATATATGATCCGACTGACCATGATCGTGTCAACTGGAATTTTGATGATACATGAGACTTGAAATTCTCCAGATCCTTTTACTTTACATATTGATATGAAGTGTTTAAATTTATCGAGATAATACTGAGCTTTTAAGAGTTTATATTTTTGCTTGGAGATATTGCGGTTAGTATTAATTTGAAAGAAATTAAGAAATCTAGTCAAATTATGTAAAAATACTGAGAGTTTTTCGTTAGTATTTGATACAAAGAAAGGAACATAAAAGTCATCAATAAGGGTCATTTGGTTGCAATAAATTACCTCAGTATTATTAATTAGATCTAAACAGCATTCATATTCAACGAATGAAAACAAACAATAGCAGAAAATGTGGGATATTGTCACAACTTTATGTAAAATAATTGATAGAAAATTTTAAACCAGGCATTTCGAGATATCTAGGCGAGAGGACTTTCAAAAATCTCAGGAAAGCAAATAATTGCGATTTGATACAAGCGCCATTAAAGTGATCCACCAATGAAAGTTCAAATTGTTGTAAGTTATCTGTTGAATTTTTGCGAATATGAATGAGAACAGCGGACAGTCTTTATAAAGTTTATTTTAAACAAATAATAAGTGCAAGTTCTAAAACAGAATATGATCGTTGGGTCCACAAAATGAATATCGAGTCAGTGATGTTGAGTGCTTGATGAATGATGAATGATCTTAGCTACCTTGTGTTCCAAAGGGAAGGTGGCTATGGCTCCCACCCCTTATGGGTCGGGTGGGACGAAACAGGTGCTCCACCAGAGGCAATAATATCATCAGACTTGGAATACACCAAGCCCATTTTTTATTTTGAAGGAAACTCCGAAAATTTTCTGTAAACCTTAGAGATCCACGTTTCGCAATCAAACAAGTAAGTAAAACCTATAACTTTCACTAACAAGAAGTGCAGTTGCAGCAGTTATTTTTACTTTTCATATAGATTAAATGATTAATGATTAAACTCATCGTGGTAGGTGTCTTCGAAGAGCACTTTTATTTTCAAAGCGAGAAAAATTACTGTCAACTAACTTATCGGTGGCTATGGACGAAAATTCATTTTTTGAAGCGACGCATTTCAAGAGACAAAAGATTTTATCGCGTTAATGGAGAACCAAAAGTATAAGATAGTTAAGTGTCTTCAATCGGAAAATGGAGGTGAATATCCCCACCAAAAGGGCGTTGGAGAAAGAACCGTCCGATTCATTGTAGCCAAAAGCGGGTAACACCGCGAACTGCAGAAGAAACCGACCACCCACGAAGAGTTTGGACGACAAAACTTCGTTTAAAGTGTGGCCCGGTAATGTGCCGAACATACCAAACTTCAGGATGTTCGGATCGAAAGTTTATTATCTAAATCGCAAACCTTGTGGTAGGAAATATGCCGCACGGGATGAAGAAGGAATTTTCCTCAGGTACGACTACTTTTGTAAGAGATATCCCATTTGGTCTCCCAAGAAAAAAGATGTGAAGTTTCTGGAAGATACTTCGAATGAACCGTATGAAGTTGTGACTGAAGTCGACAGAGGTCGTGACGAAGTGACTGCCACAAAAAGATCGTCGATCACACTGCCTCTTCGCGAAAACCGAAATATTCCGAAAGGGGAAGGTGAGAATTTGCACATAGATGAAAAAGACGGAAGATTAACCAAGCCGAATAGCGTCGACTTGAGCGAGTTTTGATTATTGAGTACATGGTTTTGTCCTAGTGTGTGAATGCACCTAAGTTGCCTCTGCAAGAATTACCGATAGTGCAGACCACAGTTCACAAAGGCGTGCTAAAGCTACCATTTTATGAGCGAGGTCTAAAAGACAATGCGTTAAAGTTAGACTACGGTCAGCAGTCTAAGTAGGGTCAGGTAGAAGGTTAAAGAGCGGTAGTTTTCGTGATCCTTGAACTCGAGGGGAAGTATTGGAAGTGATATACTGAACTGGTGTTTTTTATCTCGAGTTTCAATTATTTCACAAGAAAGTTCTTTTTTAAGTTTATTAAACTGTTACAAAGTTGCTTTCGGATACATTTAGGTTTTTACGCTGTTTTATATTACATCTGTGTTGCATACAGTACAAACTAATTTCATTGTATTATTTTTTCTAGTTTACTTTAAAACTAATATTGAGTAGACTAGTGTAAATTATATGAGATAGTCTGTTTTAAACCGAAACTTTTTATTTTTATTTTATGCATATTTACTTTGACTTGCAATGTCACTTTTAATTATATCATACTTGCAATGCTTACGCATCGTAAACCTCGGAAGCACGAATCACTCTTTGTTATAAAAGATTAATTTTGGCCACCTCGATGCAGTGGTGCTCGTAGTTGACTCTACTGGGGGGTCAGTTATGTATATTTATATAAATGCAAACCTTCTATAAACCTACCTTCTATTTTTAAAGGGTCTTAAATTTCAGTTCAATTCTTCTTTTTTTGTGCTTGAAAAATGTTCTGTTAGAATTATAACTTCTCTTTTATCTTTCCTCCTCTCCTTCAGATTTTCCGTTCATTACTATCGTACCGTCTGTAGCTCTAACCCAGTAGTTGTTCTAGATTTTTCAAAACACTCAATCAATCGAGACCTTTAAAAATTTCGTCGAGCAGGTTTATAGTCGTAGTCTTAGAGGAATTAATAAAACCAACGTATATTAAACCATTATTTATTGTATACAGTAAAGAAAAAATATCTTCACTAAAATCTTGAACTGAAGCCGTCAAATAGTATAAAATGTTATTTGTTGATTGAGATTATGTTATCTTTTTGATTTTCTTCGTTTTTATGCAGAATTTAATTAACACTGATAATAGTTAATAATGGATCTATTTTATCAAATTTCATCGATTATCCCAATGGGTAGTCTTGTAGTCTGCGGCTGAATGCGATAATGCGAATTCTGTAATTCTGATTGCAGTTCACTAATCTTGGATGAGACGCGGTCATTGACCACATTGCTTCTTATGGGGCTATGCTTGACTCTGTCTGTTTTAAGCGAAGTTTGCTATAAATTTATGTCACTCCCACTCAAAGGAAACGTATAATACTTTGCGTGAGGTCAATATTTAAAATTGACCCAACCAACCACGAATGAGAATGGTTGTTGTGTTGTTGAATTCTTTGTTCATGTAATGGTATTTATACGAATACACAACTGACAAATGTAATTTTGCCAAAAATATTTTATTCAGTGTTTAAATTAATATTTTATTTATTGTTATTACCTAAAAATGACCCAAAGCTCCCGTCATTAGATCTGTAACTCAGTTAACAGAAAGAAAACAACAAGATGGATGCGTAAATATTTCCATATACTTTATATTTACTGAAAGAATCAAAATAAGTTATTAAAAGTTAAATAGTTTATCTGTTGTTATTATTATTAATAAGTAATAATAAGATATAAACTATTTGACCGCCAGTTTTCTTACCGAATTCAAATACGTATAAAAAGTCAAGACAGTTTTACAAATCTGAAATAACAACCAAGTTACAAATACGTCATTTTTTAGATAAATTCGGTGAAAAACTTACTAAAACATAAGTTTTCAAATTCATGTCAAACATTCCATATCCACTGAAAACTATAACTTTCTGAGATCTTGCGATAACCAGCGTCAAACATTTCCTAAATTGCAATTTATTTATCTCATGCCATTTCGAATTGTATACAGACTTGGCCGTTTTTTGAGCCTGAAAGAAATCTATTTATTATAAATTATATAATATATAATAAATGAAACTTACTGTATCTGCTATAATTTCCAAAGGAATACAGTAAAAACCAGTCTCAGTAATAATTGTGACAAAATATATCGCAAATTTCACTCTGTTGGTCCAAGCACCTCTAGAATAGATATTTATAAATTGTGCTACGTTACTTTAAAAATCTTACGGCTGCATAAAAATGAAAACTGACACTGAAGCAGACGCTATTGCTATTACAAACTGAAGCAGAAAAACTCCTCGAAAAATCGAATTCAGCTGATTACAGTAACTGAAAAATAAACAGAACTTATAGTTATTTATATATCGACCAACAAATTAACTACATCTGCTGTCAACATAAACTATATAAATGTGAAAAAATGTGTTCTGTCGTGTTTACACATTAATGATGATTTATACATTTGAAACTAGAATGTAATGTTGAAAATAACCCACCTTATTAAAAAGTTGTGATAATTTACTAACTTTTCCAGTTCTCCCCAGATCTTGTGATCGGAGGTATCTCTAAAAATGTTTTGAAATCTGTGACCCAGCAACTTAAACTGTACAACCACTGATGTTCCCAGCGAACAAAAAAGACAGTCCGTTCCTGGAACGCAAATGACACACACACAGGATAAATACCAGAGAAGTGCAGCTAAATAAGGAAACGATCCTGAAGGAACGTAGCAGCTTGTAGGCAAAAACCCGGTCGTAAAAGGCTGGAGATCGAAAAATACAGCAGCCATTATCGACATCGTGAAATAAAAACGAATAACGTTTTTGATAATGTTAAGAATTTTTGAATATTCTTGGCGTTTTTCGAAGTCAGCAATTTTCCAAAATTGTGACTTTTTCTCCAACAAGCTGATGAGGATTTTTCGGTGGACGTGTAAATTTAGAACTTTGCAAATTATCTACAAAACAATTATTTTATTATGGTATTATGAGTTTACAAAGTATCTATGGACTTACGTGTGTCATTAGTATACAAGTTTGCAAACACTCAGCCATGAAGAACAAGTCATTGTTGTACGACAACAGAATTCCTATTATTGCTAAAGTTGTGTACAGGCAACAGATCAACATATTTATAAGAGAGAGAAGAATAGCCCACTTGGAATTAAAAAACGGATGAAAACAAACGTACCACAGGATTTTAACTGAGTCTGCAGATATGTCATCTGGCTCTACGAGATTCCTAAAAAATGCCAAAAATAATAACAATTGTTTAAAAAATACACATTTATGACTTACATATTTCGCAGTTGATAACACAAATAAGCATCTGAGTTCTGTGGCCACGCACGGCCGTAATGCAACTGATTGCAAACTAATAAAATTTTCTTTTTATAGACTTTTAGTAAATTTTTTATTGAGAAGGGTGAAACTAGGATCTTCATCACAGGGAATGTGTAATTATGGTCTTTACTGTAAATCTATTAAGTGTAAATTTCGATGTATTCAAAACCTTTGATGTAAATTTAATTCGGTTCGCCTTTAATTAGGAGTGAGGTCTTCTCGAAAGTAAAAAATGACGCAATATTAAATAATTTCAGGGAAGTGTATCAATTAGTTCGGTACAAGGGATCTAAAAACATGTTTGAAAGTGTCTAACTACAATATTTATGTTAAGGAAGTTGAAATCAATTTGTTGAACTCTGTATACACTTATTAAAATTGTGTTTTTATCTGGTTTTACTCACAGGTAAGTTTTTCTACGATATTAATTTATACAGGCGAAAGATCTGTGATAAATCTTTATTATTAATATTAGACGTAATCTAGGGGCTAGTTATACTGTCATTGCACATGTTATATCCATTCTTTAAAACAACAAATTGAACAGAAAAAAATTGACGTTACGAAAAATTAAGTTGAAAAATAAAATGCAACTTTTTTTTAAATATTTTATTTTATGCATTGCAAATTGTGCTGTAACACAGATTTAAAGCTACTTTGTGTACTACACACAATACAAGGATGTTGATTAATATGTGTTATTTAATATTGTCAAGTTATTATTTGGTCGGACGTAACTGTTAACAGACTAAACGTGTCGTCGACTTTGCCTCATTAACTAAAAATTTTAAAGTTTTGAAAGTGATGAATTGTCAGAATTTGTATTATTTCATTGCCATTTTTCTTGCCGAGTTTAGGTATGTGTAGAAACTGAATATTGTTTTGCAAATCTGAAACACGAAGATCTTTTATAAGGGCAAATAATGTTGTTAATAAAGTCTTACTAAAACATATGTGTTGAGATTTATGTTGATCAGTCCATAGCCGCTGAACACAAAAGGTTTCTGTGCTCACTCATAGTAAGAGTTAAACATTTCTTGAAAGAGATCTTATCTATTTCATACCATTTCGAATCGTAGAGAACGTTGTCTAGTTTGAGGGCCTGTAAAAATATAATTTTTGGAGGTTGAAATCAACAAGAAAATTTCTTTAGTTAAGTTTCGAAAGTGGTTAAGAATTGGATTAAAAAAAATTGTTTTTAAAAAAGTTGACTAAAAATTCACAAAAAATCTGGGATATACACTGACCGACAAAAAAACTGGCCACCCTGAAATATTTTGCAAAACCAAACTTTAAAAATTATTAATTTAACTAGTGACCGTTATTTTATTAAAGAACTATTAACTATTGACAAGACAAACAAACGCAGAATTAAATTTAATTTAAAAAAATAGCAGAAACAGAGCGACAATTTGTAAGAGTTAACGGCATTGTTTTCGCGTGAAAACGTTTATTAACTGTCAAACTTATAGACAAATGATGAAAAACACTGTTTACAACGACAGCCTCCTTTATTGTTTTAATTAAGAAAATATCGTACTTGGTCTGTTTCGGTGATATATCACATATGGCATATTTTAGGTGCTTATCCACCATGTTTTTGCAGTTTCAGAATTAAATTGGAAAATGTCGTTATACAATTTTTATTTTTTTTCCAAAATCTGCATGTCTTTTGTAAAAACTCATGGATTCATAAAGTACCCTTAAAGGAATATGTTATATTTAAAGATGTACCGACTATAGCCGGCAGACTGTTCTGCTTTGCTAAAACCGGTTAAAATTGGTTTAATCGACCGAAAATTGGTGTCAAATTGTAGATAATCTTCCGCTAGTTACGATTCTGAAATCGCCGTCACGATATCTGGTCCAATAAATACGCAAAGCGAATTCAAAATTTCCAAAAATTTTCCAAAAAAGTGGTTAAAATTGGTTAAAGTATTGTATAAACTGCCCTAAATTGTGTTATTCTTTATTTTTGTACTGAGTTTCTACAAAAAAATTAAATGTTAAAATTATCCAAACAAATTTAACACATTTTTTGGAAAACAAATGTACTTTAGTTATTTCTTTTATTAAAATAAAACAAATTTTTAAGGTAGTCAGAGAAATAGAAAAAAAAACACAGTCTGTTGCATTTATAAACCGGTTTTAGCAAAGCCGAACAGTCGGCCGACTATAGTCGGTACATCTCTAGTTATTTTATAAAGCTTAAAACACAGTTACTATGCATAATTTTGACGTAACGTCATCACATTGTTGGTGGGGAGGATTAGATAAAGTTTGGTCATGACACACATAAAATTTGAAAGAGTTGGTCTAAATTATCTGCCTAACAAAAATTGACTTAGACGGCGGACAGACAGACAGACAGACAGGCGGAAACGGTGATCTATTTTTTTCGTACTCTATTTCAATACTTCCTTAGTTTACGCTCGGGAAAACTACTAAATATTATTTGCAGTGATATAGCACGTACATTGAAGATTTCATTGAAGTCCTTACTCCGGTGTTTTCTCATTCTTGAAAAATATTGACAAGATTAAGTACTGGATCAATTAAGCGGTTATAGATGCAACAGATTCATGTATGGTCTGCTGTTTAATTTTAGAAACTTCAAACACTTTCTTCTTTTCTACATGAAGAGTCGTTCTGACATGTTGCGTCACGTTATATTTTTTATCACTTTGAATCTAAAACAACGTACATAGGTATACACGATTAACAAAGGAAAATAGATAAAAAAAAATTAGTGGGCTTACGGTTTTCACACTGCTCTGCAGAATATTTTGTTGTTTTCTAATTTTAATTGTGGAAAATCCCTTATCCACTCATCCGGCGTCGATTTTACTTTCGGCATTCTTTTAAAATATTAATAATATTACCAAAAAAACTCAACATGTAACACGGGAGAACCACGTATAACACTCTACTACGACAGATGCGATAGACTGATGGTTGTCAAATAAACGGTTCATTTACTTAAAAGTTTCCATTAGAAAAATTTTAGGGTAGGTAGTTGGGTACAGTAATCTTTTTTTCTAGAAAATCTTTAACGGTCCTGCCGCAAAATGCCGAAAAAGAACATCTGGTTAAAAGTTTTAATTCATTATCAACGGAAGTAAGGATTTAAAGTCATAAAATCTATGGAGTATTTTTCCAATCCTTTAATAAAATTTTATTACCCAAACGACCGGAACCTATTCACAGAAAGGGTCTTGAGTAAGTGTACTTCAATGGTCAAGTCCAGGTAAAATGCATACGATACGATACGCCTAACTAACAAGTATCTGTCATCCCGACAAGGCCGGCATTTGAACAAAATATGCATTAAAACTCATATTCGTCGAAAAAAGCATTAAATAAGCATATAAGTTTTAATATGCATAAAATTGAAAAAAAAGCAAATAAGCATAAAAAAAATGTGTCAAATGACTCCAAATTGTATCATAGTTACAGCTATAAAAAAGTTTTGATGTCCTTACATTTTTCACAAAATGCATTAAACCTAGAAATCCGCTCTCTAATTATTACATCAACCATGTCATTGACAAAAATGATAAACAATAATTGTCCTAAATTGGAACCTTGCGGTATATAACGGACCCGGTTGATAAAGAATTAGACATCACACTGGGATGTTTAACAAATAATTCTCTTCCCACTAGGTATGATTTTATAAGAGTTAGTAAGGGGTGATTAAAGCCAAAACATTGAACTTTGGATAACATTGTTTAAAGATTGGCGTAATCGATGTCTTTTTCCATAAATGTAGAAAAGCTGATGATGTTAATATTTTTAGTTTTTATTATCTGAACAATTTCATCTTCCGAAATATGTACAACAATTATGTTAAGTTATTCACGATCAGTAAAACTAAATGTTAAATCGAAATCTGTTGCAGTAAAAACAATATTTAAAAATGCCTTAAAACAATTGACTATGTCAATTGGAGTGGATAATTGGAAATAATTAATATTGTTTAAGCCTTGAAGAACTAAATAGTCATTTTAGACCATAATCTGCAACTTTGCCGCTGATTAAATTTAAAATCTTCATCCTGAAATTGAACTGTTTTGAATTTGAATTTATTTGAAAATTACAAATAGTTTTAATTTGATACTGGCATAGAAGTTCGAACGCTGGATGATAACATAACAGCAAGAGTTAAATTACAAAAAACGTTGGCTGCATAATGATGCAGAACTACCCTTCAATTTTTGCTCTTGTTCCAATTTTTGTTTTTCTGAATATTTGGTAGCTGATTTTCGCTTTGAAAATATGACTTTATTCTCCCTTAATATGCTACTGACATACTTTTTGTAGATATTAAATTTGTGTCCAAATTTACTTTTGATCTGACTAATTAAGGCCTCTTTCTTCTTTTGGGTCAATTTTCATGCTGCCATTCCGCTTCATGTCTCTCATTCTATCGAATTCCCATTCTCTAGACTTCTACAAATACTATAAGTTGTCTTTTTTATATCCCAATTTGAAAAAAACTGATTCACTGTGAAGGACTATTTTAAATGCATTTGGTCTGTATAAAATTAGGCAAAACACATTTAGGCGATAATTTTTAGTATATAGTGTTGTATACAGTACAAACTAATTTCATTGTATTTTTTTTTCTAGTTATCTTTAAACTAATATTGAGTAGACTAGTGTAAATTATATGAGATAGTCCGTTTTAAACCGAAACTTTTTGATCACTCTGTGTTATAAAAGATTGATTTTGGCCACCTGGATGCAGTGGTGGTCGTAGTTGACTCTACTGGACGGTCAGTTATGTATATTTATATAAATGCAAACCTTCTATAAACATACCTTCTATTTTTAAAGAGTCTTAAATTTCAGTTAAATTCTTCTTTCTTTTATGCTTGAAAAATATTCTATCAGAATTATAACTTCTCTTTTATCTTCCCTCCTTTCCTCTACATTTTCACTATCGCACCGTCTGTAGCTCTAACCCAGTAGTTGTTCTAGATTTTTCGAAATACTCAACCAATCGAGAACTTTAAAAATTTTAAGTGAAGTTTGCTATAAGTTTATGTCACTCCCACTCAAAGGAACCAACCGCGAATGAGAATGGTTCTTGTATTGT